TTTTTTATTTTGTACAAACAAAATAAATATATTGAAAAATATAAAAACAATAAAAAATTATACTTCAGAAGTTAATTTAGTATCAAAAACGTAAAATATTTGAGTAGCCCGAGAAATAGCCGAAGATTGCAGCGCCACAGCACTAGCAAAAATTTAAATTTGCCGACTGGAATGCTTTCGGATAACCAGCTTTCGGATAAACGACGCTCTACTGTAATGAGAATACTACTAATTATTTTATACAAGGAAAATTGTTGCCAATTTACCTTGTATGAAATATTTAGTTACTAATTTGTACTGAATATTCAAAAACAAGTTAATTAATACCATTGATAATTAAATGTCAAAAGTTAATGATTAATTAGAGTATTAAAATTCCTTCAAAAGTCATATCACAGAACAACATTATCTTTGTATTAAAGTAATGAAATTAGAATTTCTGACTGCAAAGCAAGACACTACTACTTTGTACTCAAATTGGTTTGTTTGCAAGCATATAAGGATATTTTCAAAAAGTATTTGAATAGCCTAAATTTTTTTAGAACAACAAGACCTTTTAAAAGTAAAAAGTTATCAACTCTTGCATTTAAATAATTTTATCTTCGTCTTTAGTTAGAATCGCTTTGAATTAAACCTAGTAATAAATATTTTTATATATGTAAAAATGATTTTACTATAAAAACATATGTAACTGTAACAGTTATCTGGTATAGTCTTTAAAAAAAAAAAAAAAAAACTAAAGCATTCAAAGCAAAAATCTGCCAAAATGAAAAAAATTACATATGATGTGATTCTGGTTTACACAGGTTTTACTGTATTTGTATTAAAAAAAACTATATCTATGTATACATATACATACACAATGAATGCCTGATAATTTATGAATTACTTAATTCACTAAATACAAAAATTCAGTTTTCAGATCCTAATTGTAAATCTATTAATGTTAACATAATAAATACTCTCATATTTTCTCTCTGTTAACTAATTCATTATTATGTGCTGGAATAATATTTCAGTACAGCAATTCATATTTAGAAAGAAATAGCATTCATTATAAGAAATGTTCTGAAGTTCCAAACTGTTTTCAAGACTAATTATTATTATTATTATTATTTTTTTTTTTTAAATCTTTCACTTTGCACATTATGTTATTGATGTTCTACATTATAGAATATCATTATTCTAGGATTAACAGTGAAGAAATCTGATTATTCAAAACTGCAAAATAAAGCCATTAACCATACAATAAAACAAGGCATTGGAAAACTGCAAAATTTTTGTTTTTTATCTAGAATATAAATATTCATAAACTTGACAATACATATTATATTAATATTTCTGCTGACTTGCTGTCTATAACACAAACTTGTTTTGTGTAATACAAAGAAAATATAAAACAATATGTTTGTGTTGACAGAACAAAAAATTGACAGTAAATTTTAAATATGAAATTAATTTATTTTAGTAATTCAAACACAAATTATTATTGTATTTATTTTCAGGCACTTGGCAATTTTTATCATCAAATTTTTTTATTTAGTTGATACGTGTTGATATTATTTACACGCGTTTCGGGCATTTATTGCCCCTCTTCAGCCAACTAAAAACAAAAGTTCATAAGTTACAACACTATAAAATTGTAAACAACAAACATATTAGGTATTGTTTTTTAAAAACATACCTAAAGTGTAAATAATATCAACACGTATCAACTAAATAAAAAAATTTGATGATAAAAATTGCCAAGTGCCTGAAAATAAATACAATAATAATTTGGTGTTTGAATTACTACTAATAACTACTAGCACGGTTTCAAAGTACCAAATTAATTTATTTTTTTAGATTCAAGCATAATTTTAACTACAGTTAGTAAGTTTTGTGAAGAAGCTACAGAAATATCATGTTTAAGGTTCTTAAACAATCATTTAAAATAGGCAGAGTCAAATTCTTTGTTCTATATTTTGTTTGCTCAATTCTTTGTAGAAAATTCATTCAAATATATCTTTTGTTTTAAATGAATCCAAACGATCTCTATTGGATCAGAATGAAAATCTGCAAAATGTAACCTAAGTTTTCTAATATAATTAATTATCAGACTTTCAAGTACTTGCAAAGAATGTTTGGCATAATGTAATATGCCAAGGAACAATAATTTTTGGAATAAATTTTAAAAATGACTAATCTTTTATGTTAAAATACATTTTTTGAATATATTTCAGCATTTAACTGTAGTTTTTTTGACAAAAATTAAAATTCTAGTAGATATTTGGACTTACATAAAGTCTCATAGGAAATTTTCTACTTTTAAAACACTTAATTTTTTACATAAATTCAATGGGTTAAATGATTAATAAGCTTCACTTCTATCATATTCAAGTGCAAAATATGATTCATTGTCCATAATCAATGCATTGCCCAATTTTCTTTCAGTTGGTTTTTGACTCTTGCTTCATGATGGTTTTAGGTGTTCCTCTTTTTTCTTCAGACAATTCCCAGTTCTTTTATTTTAATATCTACTTATTTTTAAGATGTCAAATTTTTTAACAAAGTTCGCTAAAACATTGACATGTTACAAAAATAAGTCAGTATTAAAGTTTGACATATTAAGATAACTTTCTGTCAGCTTTTTCTTTTTTAAGTATACCAACATTTTGAATTTAACTTTGATTACTTAGAACCATTCCCAGGGTACTTTTCTGGACCAACACCATTTTTTAATCTTCTAGCACATTGGTTCCCAATTAGATTTTCCTGCATACCACTTCAAGAAAGAGCTCAGACTCACAGCAGAAATTCATATTAATCCATACTAATATTATAAATTCCAAGGTAATTCTGTCTGTCTGTCACCTTTTCACATCTAAACCACTGAACAGGTTTTAATAAAATTTGGCACAGAAATAGCTTACATGTTAGAGATGGACATAGGCTACATTTTACTACGAGAAAATATCTTACTCCCACAAGAAAATTCGATATAATGCAGGCGAAGCTGTGGGTAGACAGCTAGTGATAAATAAAATAAGTTTTTTTACATTTATTACCTTTAAAATACAATTCTAATAATAATGAAAATAACATAAAGTTATTTAATTTTAATGTGACAAATGTGCATGATTTTCGTTGCACAACTTTGTGAAATCTGGTTGCTTTTTGGTCAGCTCAGTCTCAAATCATCTTTGAGTTGAAGTTGGTGACGATGTTTAATTTTCATGTTTGTCATGGCCAAAAATCTGCTCTCGCAGAGGTATGTTGTGCAAAATGATAGTAAATATTTTATTGCCACTTCGCTGACATAATGATAATGTTAATTGTATAATTTTTGTTTCTTGCATAAAAATTTCATTTAGGTATTGTCACAAATGCAATTTTTTGATGAAATTTCGAAAATATTTTTAGTTATAAATAAACAAATTTGTGCATTCGACATCATGTTGTAAATTGCCGAATTTTTGGTGGTCCACCATTATTTTTTTGATTGCTTCATCTCATACATTTAAATTTTAAATCGACCAATTTTAGATTGCTGCATGTACTCCTTTATGCAGTTTCGCGTACCCCCAGGGGTACACGTACCACTAATTGGGAACCATTGTTCTAGCACATCTGTAGACTGTTGATTCACTGATGTGGAATTGTTCATTCATTCTCATCTGTGTAAGCAGATATATTCAGGCAATCCTTTAAAACTTCAATTATAATTTTTTGTAATATCACTTTCATTAATCATATTCATCTTTTAATAAACATAATTATGACATCAAATTAAATCTAATATGATGGTTACAAAATTTTATGATCTTTTCTTTAAATTATAATAGTAAAATAAAATAATTCAAAATTATTGATTGATTATTATAATTAATTATTTTACTGTCAGTTTTCTGCTCCCTATGAACAGACTAGAAACAAAACATTTATAAATTTAAAAAATATATTCTTGATGTAATTATATCTTAATTTTTTCAACTATGAATCATTTAGATTGAATTTTGAGAGAAATCTGCTTTTAAATATAAACTATCCAATAATCTGTCAGAATACTTTAATTCAATGTAATAATTACAGTCTCTTTAATGCAAATTATTAGCCATGTGCTGTATATGTTTATGTTGTATTCTTTATAATGAATGCATTTCTTCATTTATTTATTAAAATATAGTTTTTAATTTAAATTATTACTATCAAATAAGTGTTTAAAATACTAAGTATTAAAAAAATGATTGACAGTGTTTATTCAAAGGTTATTAGCCATTTATTCCGATTAAAATTAAATATGAACGCAAACATTACACTGGTTACTATAACAGTCACTTCTTTGAACAAAACATAGCATTTCTTGAAGACTCTTAACAAAAATTGACAAGTTGTTAATTTTATCCATTTTTTAATATAGAAAAGAAAAGAAAATTTTAGAGCCCATTACACAAATTTCTAAATTGTATTTTCTTCAAATCATAAAAATTTGCATTGTCTTGTAATCGATCAATCAGACTAATCAAAATTCTGATTTTACAAAACCAAGCATAAAATGAAGCTAATCTAATTTTAACTTATTCATACAATTAAAAATAAGTAAGAAACTGATAAACTTATTGGAAACTAAAAATTTAGTATATTTCTATCACAGAAAATTAAGATAATTTTTGTATTTGAAATATTCTGTCACATCTGCTTTTATATAAAACTCATAATTTTTTCCTGGAGCAATTAACATCAAGCAATGCATATATATATGTATGTATGTATGTATTATGTATTTATGTATATGTATATACAGGATATAGATCAAGTTCAATTTTATTAACAAATAATAAAATGATGATGATAATGCTGATGAGTTATCCGCTTTCAAACCACGCTGAGCACATGAAGTGCATTCTTACCCAAAAGAAAATTACACTATAACAAAGTAATATAATAAATAACAAAATGTGTATTTGAAATTCATTATGTAATTCAATTATGTAATTTCATTACGTAATTAATATCCATGTATTCCAAAATATTAGATATAAATATTAAAATCAGCATATTAATATATAAATTTATACATAATATGAAACATATAATTAATTTCTTATGGCAATGTTCAAATGAGATAACTAATGACAATAAAATCAGAAAAATTTAGAACATTTTTTAAACTCAGTTTGAATTTAAAAAATAAAAATTTGTTTTAACAGAAAATGCCATACCACTATTTAAAAATTCTGATTGTTTAACCAAATTCATTCAAATCTGCGAATGAAAATATTTAAGTTAAACTTAAAAGAAGAAATTTAAAACTGCCAAATTAAGTTACTGTAGATAACAAAGATTATTATTATATATAATAAATTTTTATGAAATGCAAAATAATGATTTCAACTGTGTTAAGAATACTAAAAATAATTCCTTACTTCTCTTTAAATGATTTTATTTCTTTTTTTTTACTATTGAAGTAAATGTCATTATGAAAAATAGGTTACAGAAGTTTCTTAAAATCACATTATATAATTATAATTAAAAAAAACTGAAATACTTGTATAAGTTTTTGGAAAATAATTTTTCTTTAACAATTTATTATATCTGTCTTTACAACTAATACAATAAACTGCTAAAGTAGTGTTGACTTTTCTTAAAATGTTGTTATTATTGATATCTTTCATTTTTTTAAATGTCAAAATTTTTATAAATTGATCTTGAAACTAATATCCCGAGCACATTAACTACATCAATTTATCAGTGACATAAAATAACTGTGCTTTTCTAAATAAAAATCACTATGAACAGTGAGAATAATGGCATCCTATAAAATCACAATGTTTTCCTTTTAATATTACTACTATTAATTACACTTCACTACTGCCAAATATTTCAACAGTAATTTTACTGTTGCACCCGACAATTAAACCCTGATGTACGATTATATAAAGAAACTGATAGAATCCCAATACTAGGAATTCAAGAAATATCAGACAACTAAATAAGATACACAGATACTAGACAATGAAATTTTATATCATTGAACCTGTAAGACGAGCATATTGCTCTCTCCACAGATTAGCAGATCCATTACTATACTGAGCATTCATTCGTTCTAACTGTTCATAACCTTCCCTACCCATTCTGTAAGAGCCCTGCGTGGTTTGCTGCGGAGTAGTTATGCTTGCTGCTGTTGTAGCAAAAGTATTAGAATAATCTCGTTTTACATCTACAGGCATACTTCCATATTGAGTAGTAAGATTACTATAATTTGTAACCTCCTGTGTTCTATCTATAAATCCAGTCACTCCCATTGTATCTCTATAGTCACGCTTAGTATCAGCAGACTGAGTAGTAGAGAGCCCATATGAGGCAGACATGCCAGCATAATTTGTAGTCTCTCTTGCAGCAGCTACAACTGCTGTAGCCATACCTGAAAACTGATCCACATAATCCCTTTTTACATCCAATAATGTACTGCCAGATACCCCACCATAAGTAGATACGTCACGTGTACTATCACCCTGTGTAGTAGTCATCATACTACTAACATTCCCATATGGATCTTGTTTAATATCATACCCTCCAGTATTGTACTGTTGTGTAGTCATTGTATTAAATCCTTCAACATCCCTTCTCATATCTGGCCTACTGGTGAAAGACGAATCCATCATTCCAGTCGTTGTATCGTATTGGGTCATTCTGCTAGCATCAGTTTGACTAGCTGTCATCCCCCGAGGAAAATTTGTAAATTGATCTGGTCTACTGTTGTATTGTCCTGAAGTCATTCCTGCAAAACTGTCATATTGATCTCGCCTCAAATCTTGTGTTCCACTGGCATATTGACTGGCCGCAGTCATTCCCTGGGGAGCAACCATATCACTATAGGAAAAAATACTATTAAGTTTATAATTTACTGTTCTTCTTCATTGCTACTAAAGACTTTCTTTAAATTCAAATTATCATAATTATATTATAATGAATAATATAAATTAAAACTTTATAAATTCAAAATTAATATTAACATCTGAAATTGAATGTAAATATTAATATATATAAATATATACATATATATAAAGATCAGTTAATATAAAAAATAGCAAAATAAACTAACACAAAATATAAATTATTTGTTACTTTAATAATATTCTATATACTATTGTAATAGTGAAATCTGCCTAAATAAAATATGAATAGTTTTCTTTTAACTACTGCTTTAACTTTCTATAGTATGTAACATAACAGACAATGCACATGTGCCATTTAATGCATTTGTTGTAAGTAGATTTTGAAAATTTAAAAGCGACAATAAAATTATTTNTTTTGATCTCCACCAAAGCTTATCTCTGCTTGTCGACATACACCAGCGATAATAGGACCAAATATTCAATCTTTTACCAATGTATTTTGTACGTGTTGACACTCACTGGAGAATATCGACATTCTCTAATTTCAGTCTTTCACCATGAAAGTAAAAGTTTATCACAATTTCAACCAAGCAGTCAGCTATTTTTGTACTAAAAGTGAGATACAGTATATTTTCAAACCTAGTGTTACTTATACAAACATCTCTAAGCTCGATGACTATCAGGCATAGAGATGTTTAATAGGCAATATACTTATATTAAAACCAAACAATTACCAAATTAAATCAGTCTATCATTTCTAATTATTTAATAAATATCAATTTTATTATTATTATTATTATTATTATTAAATCTACCTTTGGAAAAAATTTCTCACTACTGAATTATTATTAGCACTAATACATCCTGATTTAATTTCACAATTGGATCAATTATAACTAAAAAGTATAATGACAATGAAACTTACACAGAGACCGCATTCTTCGAATACATATATAATAAAGATATACAAAAATTAACACCACTTATTCCATAAAAACATATACCTAAAGTTTATAAAAATTGCAAACAATAGTGAAAAATGCCATTACTCCAATGTCAGCGACTTCAGTGCCATCTCACATGTAAAAACAAAAAATGACAATATGTGATAAATAAATAATATAAATTTATTTCTATTAGAAATTTATTATTTATTACTGGCCAAAGACTGTCTTTGATGCCATTCCATGACCGGCAAGACAATGGAATCAGAATCTGTGCATCTAAAACTTAAATTTCATGCAGTCTAATTGTTCATAAGTCTGAAAGTTCATAAGTAAGAAAGCTCCTGTAAATAATTTTATGAAATTTTTCATGAAACACCATTTTTAAAAATCTTAAAATCAAATAAAACGTGAAAGATAAAAAAAATTTGGTCCATATGTATCTTACAAAAAACCTTTTCAAGCAAATGCTGAGTTAGGGCTTGAAACTTTGTCCTTACCTAATTTGGGGTTGGAAAACACAATTCTGTAAGCCATTAATTTTACAACTGTTTGTGTTATCTACTAGGTCAATCAAGTAGCAATTAAATATCATAATAATGAGAATTATTTTCATCAAAAAATGAAGATGACAAAATTCAAATTTGCAGTGAAAGCATTTTTTAAAAAATCCAGTAATAACAGTCCCAGCTGTTATGAGTTTTTATTTTAAAAAATAACTTTTCTGTTTTTACGCAAAATAAAATTGTGTGCGATTCCATCTGTTATGAAATTTTGTTATAAAAAGTTTTATATTTTTAATTATTATAAAATAGCAAAATAGTTTTATAAAAATTTGTAAATGCTAATAATAAACAAAATCATCTTTAAATTTGACCCCTCTTGAGACATGACATCCTAGCTCCTGATTCCCTGGATCTTTAACTACCAAAATTTAATGGTATCAATGCCCCTTATATACAAAGTACCATGTCAAATTTAGTTTCTTCATCTTCACCTCGTCCTGAGATATTAAATGAAATAGATATCAACACACACAACACTAATTTCTTGCCCTCTTTTTTTATTTTACTTTTTTCAATTCAGGAAATCTCAAAATGTGGAGATTTGAAAAAACTCTGAGGGTCAAATTTGACATGATTCCAATACTTTCCCTCGTTATGTATATGTTACTGTGAATGACCGATTTCTGGTGAATGTCAGCATTCACACAGTGATTTTTGTGTATGTACAAAACATTTGCATATCGTTATTTCTAACTTACACTGGCAAATGTTGACATTCAGCATGTACTGATGGTGAATGTTGAATAAAAATATTTTTATTACGTTAAGACAAAAATGCAACTTTTTAATATGTCAAAATAGGAGAAAGCTTAAGCAACAGCACATGTAAATAAACTGTTGAACCTAAAACGAACAGTACATTCTAAATCATTAAAAAAAATAATACAATAATAAACTTACACATAAATTATGTGATTAACATTATACAATCTTATTTATTGCAACAACTTAAACTGTTATGGCACTTTGAAATGCACAAGAGTTCCTTGCTTTTACAACTGCATTTATTCGTGGAACACTTCTTTTTGCAATGACAGTGTGTATAGCCTTGCCCTTCACTTTTCGAATTAGCTGCAGCTGATTCTCTCAGCAATATTTCTTGAGAAGAAATCTCATCTATGGAAAGTAACTTTTCTTAACAAATTATGAACTGATTACGTTATTACGAACTGATCTGTTAATGGTGTCTTTTGTTTGGATATCGCCGACACCTTACCGATGACCCCCTCTTGTCCTCTGCCACTCGACAAACCAATCCCCACCTCACAGGATCAAAAAAAAAAAAAAAACCATCCAGTGACAAAGTGGGCAGTTTCCACCAAACCATTGCCAGGAAAAGAGGTACAACCTTGTCCTAGCTCCAGTTACCCACAAAGGATTTGGTGACAGACTGTTGCCTCTCTGTCAACATCGGCTTCCTGAATGTCATTTTGATCTCCACCAAAGCTTATCTCTGCTTGTCGACATACACCAGCGATAATAGGACCAAATATTCAATCTTTTACCAATGTATTTTGTACGTGTTGACACTCACTGGAGAATATCGACATTCTCTAATTTCAGTCTTTCACCATGAAAGTAAAAGTTTATCACAATTTCAACCAAGCAGTCAGCTATTTTTGTACTAAAAGTGAGATACAGTATATTTTCAAACCTAGTGTTACTTATACAAACATCTCTAAGCTCGATGACTATCAGGCATAGAGATGTTTAATAGGCAATATACTTATATTAAAACCAAACAATTACCAAATTAAATCAGTCTATCATTTCTAATTATTTAATAAATATCAATTTTATTATTATTATTATTATTATTATTAAATCTACCTTTGGAAAAAATTTCTCACTACTGAATTATTATTAGCACTAATACATCCTGATTTAATTTCACAATTGTTTGGCTTCATATTACCTATATCATAACCAGGAGGGTGACACTGAATAGTGCTGTTAAGTGTCATGAGTATGTTGTGATGTCACTTAACAATCAGTAGGAAATGCAATAATGAACCTCACAATGTTCTCATTATGAATGAAACTTTCATTGACTTTTCTTCTTTACTGAAAGGTTGGTATGGAGCTTTGGGTCTAGATAATTATTGAATATATAGTTAAGTTCCTATTTTATACAAGATTAACAAGATTATTAGTTTTGATTTAAAACTATTATTTAATATCATTTATAGCAAATATAATGTCTGTATAATTAATAAATATATAATTGAACAATATACAGCATATATAGGATACTATATACGTGGTATGATCCAAAAGTTCAGGGACTGCAGTAATCTATGACAACAAAAGCATGTATTTGAAGTAACAGCATATGAAATGTATTCTACCAAACCACCCCTACGTTTCAGGTTGGTTTCGCCCATGTCATGTGATTAAACCACGAGCGCTGCTGTTTTCTTCCAGAGAGTGTTACCTTTATTCTGCGGCATAATAAAAAGCAGTTTCAAGCTGCAACATTAAATTTTGTCAGCATTTAGGTAAAACACCTACGGAGACTTTAAAATTGCTAAGAAAGGTGTATGGTGATTCTACGATGGAAAAATCAAAGGTGTATGAATGGCATCTGAATTTTAAAAAAGGCTGAAAATCCATCACAGATGATGAACGCTCTGGCCGACCTTAGACTTCACAGAAAGAGGAAAATGTTGAGTTGGTCTCTCAACGTGTTTGCAAAGATCGTCGCCAAATACTTGAAAAAATCGCTGTGGCTACTCACTTATCAAAGAATAGTTGCCAGCATATTTCAATGGAAGATCTTAACATGCACCAAGTGTCTCAGCACATTGTCCCTCAGCTTTTGACTTATGAACAAATGGAAGAATGAATGAGAATATCAGGTGATTTAATCGACAAAGCTGATAAGGATCCAGATTTTTTGAACCACATTATAACCACGTTTCATCACATTATAACATGTGATGAAACATGGTATTATTTATTTGATATCCAATCAAAATGTGCTTCTTCAACATGGAAATCACCCTCCTCACTGTAATCGAAGAAATTCCGACAGGATTGGCACAAAGGGAAAGTCATAATGGAGGTATTTTTTGATTCTCGAGGAATTGTTCATTCAAAATTTATTCCCGAAGGCAGAACAGTAAACAAGGAGCATTATCTAGACATTTTATGTCATTTGAGGGAATTCATTCATCGTAAATGGCCACAGATCTGGCAAAGTGGAGACTGGTACCTTCTGTGTGACTATGCACCTGCACGTCGGTCCCAAATGGTCACACAGTTTCTCGCCAAAACTCAAATTAATGTGCTCCCACACCCCGCCTATTCAATGGACTTAGCCCCATGTGATTTTTATTTGTTTCCATCAATGAAAATGCATTTGCAGGACGCTGTTTTGTGTCATCAGATGAGGTGAGAGCAGCATTGCAGGCGGCCTTACGGGAGGTTTAAAAAAAAATGGCTTCCAGCAGTGCTTTCAGAAATATGAGCATCGGCAA